GCTTGCCGGACCCCTGCCGCCGGCTGCGGAAGAGGAAGCGCCGGTAGGTCTCACCGCGCCCCGGAAGGCACCGGGCGAGCCCCGCGGCCAGCTTGTCCTCCTCCCCCGGCCGGGCCAACCCGGCTCCCTTTATCCCTGCGCCGGTGACACAGGGCAGGCCCGGGGCAGGCAGGGGGCCTGGGCCATGTCTGTCAGGGTGACTCACCCTGCCCATGACGTCAGTCCCGTGTGCCGCTACCCCAGGCGCTTCCCACGCCAGGTGCCAGCAGGGTTCCCTGGGGGGGGGGACACCCTAGAGCACCAGTCCCGGAGCAGGAGCGGAGGAGGAATGGGGTGGAGCCGTGGGGAAGGAAGGGAGATTGGGGGGCCGGAGAACACGGGGCTGAAGCGGAGGGAATTGGCCAGTGCTGAGGCCCTTGGTAGCCGCTGGGCTTGTTGTCTGGGCCCAGGCGGCCTGCCCACCCCTGGCCCCACACCCTGCCCCACCAGCCAGATGGCGTCGAGTCTCCCCTGCCCAGTGGGATAAGCAAGGCTGCGCCATGGGAGGCCAGCTCCCTTCTGCCCCGGGTCACAGCCGTGGGCTCTGTGATTGAGCTTGCTCATCCCTGGCATGGAGGCCCCCCCAGGGGCAGAAGGGAGCTGGCCTCCCATGGCGCAGCCTTGCTTATCCCATCTCAGATAGGAGGGTTGGGGGCAGACTCCCCTGGCCGGTGGGCAAAGGAGAGGAAGAGGAGATCGTTACACCATGTAGTCTGCACATGGAGGGAAATAAACCCTTCCTGACCCCTGCAGATGGCGGCCCTGAAGCATGAGAGTGGCAGAGAGCCAGGCAGCGCGTCTGATTGCTCGCTGGCCGGCTGGCCTGGCAAAGAAGCAGAATCAAAAGTGCTCGAGGTGGAACCAAAGCGCTTCTCAATTTTGGGGACTCAATATGGCCGGAAAAGGTTCGTTTCGGGGCCAAAACAATGGTGTCAAGGGCAGGCGCTGGGAGCCGTTTGAAGGAAAGGGAAGGTGAGGAAGGGCTCACATCACACTGTGGAGAGGGCCGGGGCAAGCGTCCAGCTTGTAGCCACCCGGGCAGGATGCCCAGCTCGGGCAGCAGAGACACCGGTTTGAATCCCCGCTCCGGAGCAGCCCCATGTCTGACCCTTCCCAGCTAAGTGCTCCAACCATGGGGGTCTGGGTTATTCTGGGGTGGGCGTCCCACCAGCTCTCCTCTTGGGTCAGGACGCCTGAGTTCTATCCTTGGCTCTGTCACTCAGTGTGGGCCCATGGCCACATCCTGTGCCTCGGTTTCCCCCGCGTAGAAGGGAGGAAGGCTGCCTGCCCAGCTCCCAGGGCAGGGGGTGCCCAGGCAGAGTGCCAGCTCCCCTGTGCCCCTGCTAGCGGGGCGCCCATGCCCAGGACCCCCTCAGCTTTGATCCTGGTGCCATGGTGCAGGAAGGGCCCAGCCGCCGTCCCAGTGCATGTCCCCAGCCCTGTCCCTCGGTGCGCACGGGAACCCGCTCACGCAGGCTGCTGGGCTGGGTCAGCCGGTTCCCCCGGCCTGTCCCATCATGCACTGGGCCGTTGCCCTGAGGCCTCCTTTCCCTCCTGTTAGCTATGGGGTCTGTTCCGCTGCGCCCCACAATGCACTGGGAGGTTACCCAACAGCCTTTGCTCCCTGGGGAACCCCTGCCTTTGGGTGGATCCAGGAGCCCCCCTCTCTGCACCTGGTGTTGTAACCTGGAGAATCTTTCTCCACTGTGTGTGTTGGGCATCAGAGTCTGGCGGCTGCCCCATGTTCACACCCCCGCTCGCTGCCCCGCCACAGGCCCGGAGTGGCTCCTGCGTGCGCCAGAACGAACCGGCCCGTCTGCGTCTCGCCGCGGCCAGCGCCGGGATTAACCCCCTGAGTGACCGGCTGCAGCTGAGACCGGCTGGACCGAACCGCCCGGTACCAGCTGGGTGCGCCCCAGGCCCCGGCCCCGGCCCCCACCCACAGAGATTCCCCCAGGAGCTGGGTTCCCGCGGGCGCTCCCCGGCCGGCTACATCCACCCGGTGCAGGAGCCGGCCCTGCCGGGCCCTCAGCCGGTCCCCGGCCATGCCAAGCCAGCCACTCAGCTGGGATATGGAGCCCCCGTCCACCCCCATACCACAGCGTCCCCCACTGACCCCGCCCGCCCCTATACCACAGCGTCCCCTGCCGTGCCCCCTCCTACCCCATCGCCACAGCGCCCCTGCTGAGCCCC